GGGCAATCAATAAAGTCAGCTAAACTGTATCAAACCATGGGACATTTTGAGACCACAAATCTAGATTTTCAAGTTTGAAAAAAACCCTGACTTAAATGTCAGCGAGTTATCAAAGTGCTTAGGTATTGCAGTTTCTTTGATTCAAAGCATGTCAAAAAACCATAAAGCCCATCTGTTTTTGTTTACTTACTCTCGCCTGTCATGATTCTATCTTTGGCTCCAAGTCGTGTGAAGATGATATCCACAACCGAGAGAACACAACTTTCACATGGCACATAACAGCCTAACTGCAAAGACCATCATATATTTATAAAAAGACGCATCAGAAGAACAATCTAACAGAGTAAACAATGTAGAACACATGCACTTTCTTTGAAGTTTCAGTGGGAAAAGGATGTGTTGTAGTTTTTCTTCATTTAAATACTTAGTCAGCCATTCCTCATTTAAATACTTAGCCAGCCAATGAGATTTTATTTAGAAGTAATTACGTAACAATCATTTCTAGCTTAACCAAACAAGTGAAAAGGGGTGAAGAGAAAAAACCTGGGCCATAATAACAGCCAGGCAGGTGGAACGCAGAAGAGTTGACTTTCCTCCCATGTTTGGTCCAGTAAGCAGCAAAGTGCGAGGATGAGATCCATCTTCACTCTCACCAAGGATTATGTCGTTTGGAACAGGCAAACACCCGCTGTCTCCAAGGGCAAATGGATGCCATAGTCCCTTCATCTTGAGCACAGTTCCTCCGGTGTCACCACTTGTTCCTTTTGATGCTACTATGACCGGCCGAGACATATTTCCACAAGAAAAGCTAGAAGTGACAGCAAAAGATCGTAATACGTCAATGCAATTGATGGCATGAACCACTTCAAACCACTGAACAGCTTTCTCCAAAAATAATTCAGCAAAAAGTGTGAGGGCGTATGTTCTAGGTCCAATATCACCAGTACATCTGATCCTGTGATCACTTTCTTTTGTTTTTTCCCGCACCAGACCCTCACCCTATCCCTCTGTCGTCCCCCCTTGATCTAGTCTCCCCCTTTTCCACATCCGCATCCCTTCTTCACGTTCGACCCTTTTTTTTTTTTCCTTTTCTCTTTCTCCTGCTTTTACCCTTTCCTCATTGCTTTCTCTTCTTGTCATGCCTGTTGAGGCCCATGACCGGATTTTAGGATGTGCGTTCTAGTTAATATTACCCGCTACACACTGACTTTCGTGCATGTTTGACACTTGCAGATTTTTGCCTTGATCGTTTATGCCTAGCATCCCCCTTTGCACGGGTCTGAAAGGCTTTTTGCTTACAGAAAGTTCGTGTGTCAGTGGTTTTTTGATTCAGTTCCGGTTTCATCCCCTCCCCCCCCCTTCCCCTCCTGACATCATCAATTCGCGGTTATATTTGATCGTTTATGACGATCTTTGCTGTCACTTTCTAAGCTTTCTTGTGGAAATAGTCTCTCGGCCGGTGTTTCATTTTATGTTTCAACGCATCAAAAGGATTAACCAACACCAGTCGGTGACACCCGATGGACCCATTCTTCTTGCTGCTCAAGATTGAAGGGGGGACCCCTATGCAATCCATTTGCCACTTGGATGGACAAGCGGTTGTTTTTGCATGTTTCCAAACGGACTAAATCCTTGGTGAGAGTGAAGATGGATCTCATCCTCGCACTTTGCTGCTTACTGGACCAAACATGGGAGGAAAGTCAACTCTTCTGCGTTCCACCTGCCTGGCTGTTATTTGGCCCAGGTTTTTTTCTCTTCACCCTTTTCACTTGTTGTTTGGTTTAAGCTAGAAAAATGATTGTTACGTAATTACTTCTAAAATTAAAATCTCATTGGCTGGCTAAGTATTTAAATGAGGAATGGCTGACTAAGTATTTAAATGAAGAAAAACTACAACACATCCTTTTCCCACTGAAACTTCAAAGAAAGTGCATGTGTTCTACATTGTTTACTCTGTTAGATTGTTCTTCTGATGCGTCTTTTTATAAATATATGATGGTCTTTGCAGGTTTAGGCTGTTGATGTGCATGTGAAAAAAGTTGTGTTTCTCTCGGTTTGTGGTATCATCTTCACCAGACCTTGGAAAGCCAAAAGGATAGAAATCATGAACAGGGCGAGAGTAGTAAACAAAAAAAACAGATGGGCTGTATGGTTTTTTGGACATGCTTGAGCATCAAAGAAACTGCATACCTAAGCACTTTGATAACTTCGCTGACATTAGTAGGGTTTTTTCAAAACTTGTAAAATCTAGATTGTGTCTCAAAATGTCCATGTGTTCAGATACAGTTTAGCTGACTTTATTGATTGCCAATACCAACAAACTTCGTATTTTTTAGGTACCTTCTATATTGAGTGTACAGAAACTGCTTCGGTGCTTCAGAATGCCACTCAAGATTCTCTTGTTATCCTTGATGAATTGGGTCGAGGAACAAGCACTTTTGATGGCTACGCCATTGCATATGCTGTGAGATTCCATCTTTACTATTCTTTGTTGTCTTCTTTGGATGCAAAAAACTTTTGGTTTGTAAGTATGGTATTTCTATACTTCACCGACTGGAAGTACTAAAAGATTTAACACTCGAGTGCCATTGGAAAAATGCAAAGAAAGAAAAACAATGATACTATGTTTAGTAGTAACAGGGTTATCCATGAAAGAAAAAGACCTACAACATATGATTCTTAAGATTCTTCTATTATTCTATAACATTTGGTCCCGAGCATTTTTAAAACCTCTATGTTGGTATTCCTACCACCTTTAGTAATTTATGACTTCGATAATGTTTAGGTATTCTGTCTCTTTAAATAATTGTGGATGTGCACAGGTATTCCGGCATCTGATTGAGAAGGTTAACTGTCGCATGCTATTTGCCACTCATTACCATCCGCTCACGAAAGAGTTTGCCTCTCATCCACGCGTTACAATGCAGCACATGGCTTGTGCTTTCAAGTCAAAATCTGAAACTTATTCCATGCGTGATCAAGAATTAGTTTTCCTATATAAGCTTGCCTCCGGAGCATGTCCAGAGAGCTACGGATTGCAGGTTGCCCTCATGGCTGGAATCCCAGAAAAAACGGTAAACATTGCTTCTAAGGCTAGCCAACGGATGAAAAAATCAATTGGACAAAGTTTTAGGACAAGCGAACAGAGATCAGAGTTCTCAACCCTTCATGAAGAATGGTTGAAAACCTTGGTGTCTATCTCACGAATAGAAGATTGTAACTCGCTGGATGAAGATGTTTTAGATACATTGATCTGTGTGTGGTATGAACTGAAAACTTCATTTATATCAGGCAAGTGCAGATGATATATGGGGTTCGATAGGTAGGGCAGTAGTCTGTCATGTAAAATTATTCTCATTTTGGAAAATGGAAGGCTTCTTTATTATCGTTCATTGTTTGGGATACATTTGGATAACAGAAAATATGCCACGTAAAAAGTTTTAGATTGAATTTATTATTTTTTGGTACCGATCTTTTTTACATTCACTTAATGGGTATGAAATGTGAGGAAGATTGAGTTAGAAAGACGAAAAAAATGGAGAAACTGAAAAGACAGTATTGAAGTTTTTAACTATAAAAACAAGATAAAAGCTTAGAAGTTATAAGGGCGCCAATTTCGTTTCACTTTAGTTTTATAATTCATTCCTGACAATTTAATTTTACGAAAATATCAAATCTATACCTGAAAAGAATGAGCAATTTAGAATAACCGACTCCTGTGATAACTGAAAAAGTAAAATCGTTATTTATCACTTAATTAACCAAAATAATTGACTTAAAATTTATATATTTAATATTGTCATTAATACAAAATATATAATTTAATAAGTTTTTTTATTTTAAATATTTGATATGAATTTATTTTAAATAAGTTTTTTTAATTTCATCTTTTTTATTAATTGAATATTTGATGTTTTGGTAGATCACATTCCATAAAATTAATATGAAATTTCTTGAATATTAATTAGGGGTTTTTTAATTGAACAATTAGTATTTCTTGAATATTAATTAGGGTTTTTTTATTGAACAATTAGTATCATATTTTAAATTAGTTGAAGAAGTTGAATTTGTGAGGTAACTTTTTTTATAAATAAAATTTGGTTTAATATCTTTTTAGTCCTTGTAAAAATAAAATTTGTTCATATCCAAAACTTTCATATATTTTTGATATCTAAACTCTAAAAATGAACGAAGTTAGTCTTTTTAATTTAAATACATTATTATTTTTACGTGTCAAACATTCTTTTATATTAGTATTTGAATTGTTTATTCAATTTGACATATTTTCTCTTTAATATTTATGTTTCATGCTAGTCTTTCAGTTTTATATACTTTGACATGTTGTAACTTCAATATAAGGAAAAACATTTAATAAGTAATTTTTTTTAAAAATACTATCATCATTTATTTTTAAGGTTTGAAAACTAAAATATATAAAAAATATTATACAAAATACTCATAATATAAAAAAAGTAAAAAGAAGTGAATTATAAAAGTAATATATTACTATAAAATAGGATAAGAGAGAATTGTCTATTTTTCTACAAAATCAGCTCAAATGACAACATAATCATAAGTTTGCATTTTAATTTTGTTTCCTCCTAAACAAGAAAGAACATATAAAAGTGGGAGAAATAACAGAAATAATAAGTAACTCAAAAGTCAGAAAAAAAAATCTTAATAATCTTATTTTTTATTATATTTTATTATTTATTAACATCAAACCATGTATTTTATAAAAAAATCACCAAATCTAATTCTTATTATAATAAAAGTTTGGAAATTACACACGACCTCCTGACTCCCATTATGCTGATCTGCAGTTAATTACATTAATATTTAATCAAAGCAGTTATCAAACGATAGTTTTATAGTCTGATGGATTAAACTATTAAATTATGTGTACGAGCAGCACAGAGAAGATAACTGCAACCTTTCTGAATAAACATTACTCCAAAACAAAATGCTGCATCTCCTCATGAAATATCAATTTCTAACCATAGAAAAATTGCACCTATACAATACAAGAAAAAGCAAATTAACTCTACCACTTCTTTACCAAACAATTCGGCAATATTTTTTCCCATCATTCCCTGTGTCCTCTCATTTCCTTCGTACTCGGTCTCTTCCACTCTCACTACAACCTAAGCCAAAACAAAACAAAAAATGTTTGAGTTTCATTATGACTACGTAGAAACAGAGTAAAACTGGAGTACGTCCTTAAGATGAAAGGTTAATTCTTTCAACGACCCTTTTTCATGCATGCTATGGATAACGTACAAGATTTCATGCACGACGTTGTAAACAAGAAGGGCACCACGAAGTCGAGAAGAAGACAACTAGGCCTATCATGCATGCTGAACACCGAAGTTAGCGCAGTTATAGCAGTGGTTCGTCGTCCAGAGTGTATTCCTCTCTACAACCTATCTGCCCCAGATGAAACCTACGACTCTTCCCTCATCAGTTCCTTAAGATCCCTTCGTTCTCTCATTTTCAACCCTCAGCAAGAGTGGCGCACCGTCGACCCTACCATCTACCTTACCCCCTTCCTTGATGTTATCATAAGCGACGACGTTCCGGCGGCCGCCACCGGCGTTGCTCTCTCCGCGGTTCTCAAGATTCTCAAGTTCGAAATCTTCGATGAGAAGACGCCGGGTGCAAGAGAGGGTATTGAGTCTGTTGTGTCTGGGATCACCAGCTGCAGGCTTGAGAAGACCGACCCGGTTTCCGAGGATGCGGTTATGATGAAGATATTGCAGGTTTTAACCGCGATAATGAACCACAGGGCTTCGGATTTGCTCTCCGATCAATCTGTTTGCACCCTCATCAACACTTGCTTTCAGGTCGATCAACATAAAGATACTATCTTCTGTTGTTTTTTCTCATTTGTTACAGATGTATTGTTCCGTTTATGTAAGCTTTTAGTGGTTATTATCGTTGTAGATTCACGTCAAACGATTTTATAGTATATGATGATTTTGTGGGATTGAAAGACAGTATGACAACATCATTGCTGAATGCAATGTCAAGGTTTTTGGAGTCTTTTCTGCTATAATGCAATTTTACAATTGCATTAAGGCAGTGTTTGTGATTTTGTCACGATCTTCAATAGTGTAAGAAATTTTAGACCAAGGCAGCCCAAGTATCTGTAATCATAGTCATTTATGGTCACAAAAATGTCAAATTTCTTCACATAAACCTCAGTTGTTAATGTAGTATCAAAGACAGACAAATAAACCATTTACAGAATGTTCTGTTCCTGTATGTTTTTATTTTTTTTTCCATAAATAACATTCTGGTGTTACTTTCTAACGTAAGAGGGTTTAAATCCTGCTTTCAGGTTGTTCAACAATCCGCGAGTAGAGGAGATTTACTGCAGAGGAATGCGAGGTACACCATGCACGAGCTTATCCAGGCTGTGTTTAAAAGGTTACCAGAGATTGAGGCTAAGGATAGAGAAGGGGACTCAGAATCTGACATGGAGGACGGTGATGAGGGTGGTGGTTTGGAATCTGGCTACGGCATTCGTTGTGCCATTGACATATTTCATTTCTTGTGCTCTTTGTTGAATGTTGTCTCCATAGTTGAGGCAGATGGGTCAACTACTCACACTGCAGATGAAGATGTTCAGATTTTTGCTTTGGTTTTGATAAACTCGGCGGTAGAACTGAGTGGGGATGAGATAGGAAAGCACCCAAAGCTCTTGAGGATGATCCAAGATGACTTGTTTCACCATTTGATCTACTATGGAACATGGTCTAGCTCCTTTGTGCTCTCCATGATTTGCAGCACTGTGTTGAATGCCTTTCACTTTCTCCGCAGGTCAGAGATACTTCATGTAAAGAACTAACAAGCCTCAAGAGAGATTGATTTTACTTAGGGTTAACTATATTCTTTTCCCTAAACTATAACACGATGTTGCCTGGTTCCTATCTCAAACTTTCATCTAGTTTTCATACTAAATGCATGAATGAAGTTCTCCTCCAAATTTGTTAACTGTTTTTTAGCATGATAAAAAGTGAATCATGTTGACATTTATATAAGGATCTCACAAGATCAAAGTTTGAGATAAAAACAAAAAAGTATCAGTTTTTAACTACAAGAGTCAATAAGTTCATCATACATGACAGTCTATGATTCAAGATTTGGTCATTTACCTTTGTTTTTTTTGTGTTTGTAGGTCTATCCGATTCCAACTGGAAGCATTCTTTTCATACGTGCTGTTCAGAGTTGCAAGTTTTGGGAGCACAATTGCGCTTCAAGAAGTAGCAATTGAAGGAATAATAAACTTCTGCAGACAGCCAACATTCATAGTTGAAGCGTATGCAAACTTTGATTGTGATCCAAGTTGTCGGAATGTGTTTGAGGAGATTGGGAGGCTGCTTTGCAAGCACTCATTTGCACTGAATGGGCATGTCACAAGTCTGCACATTCAAGCCTTTGAAGGACTATTGATCATGATTCATAACATTGCAGATAACATTGACAAAGATGGTTCTTCAGGTTCTGTAGGTGCATACTCAATTCAATTGCCTGAGTATAGACCCTTTTGGGAGGAGATGGATAGAGAAAAAGACTTGGAAGCTTGGTTGGAACATGTAAGGCTGAGAAGACTTCAGAAAAAGAAACTGCTAATTGCTGCAAACCATTTCAACCGTGATAACAAAAAGGGTCTTGAGTACTTGAAACATGCCAAGTTAATCTCTGATCCTCCTGATCCAAAGGCTCATGGTCACTTCTTTCGCTACACTCCAGGCATAGACAAGAAAACAATAGGGGAATTTCTTGGAGACCCTGATCCTTTCTACCTCAAAGTTCTCAAAGAATTCACTGACACCTTCTATTTCCAAGGCATGAGTCTTGACACTGCCCTTAGATTTTATCTGGAGAGTTTTTTGCTGCCAGGAGAGTCACAGAAGATTCAACGCATACTTGAGGCATTTGCAGAGAGATTCTATGATCATCAATCCTCAGACATGTTTGCAAGCAAGGACACTGTTCTCATCTTGTGCTACTCTCTCATCATGCTCAACACTGAACAGCACAACCCCCAAGTCAAGAAGAAGATGACAGAAGAGGAATTCATCAAGAACAATAGAGCAATCAATGCAGGACAAGATTTGCCTAGGGAGTACCTTTCTTCGCTTTTTCAATCCATTTCCACCTGTGCATTTTCCCTTTCTCAAACCACAGTGTCACTAGACATGAGTCCAAGTAGGTGGATTCAGCTCATAAACCGATCCAAAGTGGCACAACCTTTCACACCATGTGACTATGACCGCAGAATATGTAGAGACATGTTTGCCTGCATTGCTGGTCCATCAGTGGCTGCTCTTTCATCGTTCTTTGAGCATGCTGATGAAGAGGAGTTACTCCATGAGTGCATTGAAGG